TTCCGATCGAACCCTAGATACCCACTTCGATTTCGCTTCGGATTTTGGGTGAAAGATGTCGGATCGATCATGGGTTTCCGCCATTTTCGTCTTCGTGTTGTTCTGGGTTTCTTCCGCTGAACATAATGTTCGTACTGAGCGAATTTCAGGTACTCTCTTCAGTTTTGGGGAAGTAATTTTCCGCCTTCTAGGAGTTTGGAGTATAGGGCAGATAATCTTTTTGCGGTATGTCAGTGAGGAAGAATTCGTAGAAAAGTTTCCACTTTCCGGGAAAATTACTATACAGAATGACTATTCCCACGAAGAATTTGGAACATACGCTCATTCAAAGTCTCGGATATCTTATGGTTATTCCCATCATGCGGATTGATTCGGTTGATGCTTATCTTATTCATTGCATTGATAGCCAAACTCAGTTATGTCGGTAAATGTTCAAACGCAAAACTCTTTGATTGGATTTTTCTTGTCCGAAATGCACAGGAAGTGCTGGGGATGTCTTGGAAGATAACCCAGTGGGAAGGTTGAAGGTCTATGTTTACGAGCTCCCGAGCAAATACAACAAGAAATTACTACAAAAGGACCCTCGATGCCTTAACCACATGTTTGCTGCCGAGATTTTTATGCACAGATTCCTCTTATCTAGCCCTGTTCGGACACTAAATCCGGAGGAAGCAGATTGGTTTTACACTCCCATATACCCTACTTGCGATCTCACTCCGACTGGCTTGCCTCTGCCTTTTAAATCTCCTCGTATGATGCGGAGTGCTATACAGTTGATCTCGACAAACTGGCCTTATTGGAACCGGACTGAAGGAGCCGATCACTTCTTTGTCGTGCCCCATGACTTTGGAGCCTGCTTCCATTATCAGGTAAAAGAATTTGTCAGTAATCAGTAAAGATTAGATGGGTGTGTACGTACTCAGGTATGGATGCATTGCTTTAGAACTTAGATGCAGGAACTAGCTACTAGTTGATGAATTCTTTGGTGAACTTATTATATGCACGAGATTGGAGAATTTTGCAATGAGTTTGTTTCATGGAGATTCAAGATTTATGTGGATGTGGAAAACAGGAGGAGAAAGCCATTGAAAGGGGGATTCTTCCACTGCTTCGGCGTGCTACTTTGGTTCAGACATTCGGTCAGAGGAACCACGTGTGCTTGAACGAAGGCTCCATCACCATTCCGCCTTATGCTCCACCTCAGAAGATGCAAGCCCATCTGATTCCTCCAGAAACTCCTCGGTCTATCTTCGTATACTTCCGGGGTTTGTTTTACGATGTTAACAATGACCCAGAAGGCGGCTACTATGCAAGGTACATTTTCTTGGTAAAAGTTAAATTGTACCCATCTATCTTAATATCATCATTCACCCTAGAACTGCAATCAAATTATCAATAACATCACTTCAAGATTAAGCTCATCATATGAAAAATTGGGGTATAAGGCCATCTTAAGACTGTGTATTCAGGAATCGACAATTACAATCAAATTGTCAATAACACTTCAAGATTAATGAGCATTTTCTGTTTTGAACTGACACAGAGGAGCAAGAGCGGCAGTGTGGGAGAATTTCAAGAACAACCCTCTCTTCGACATCTCCACAGATCACCCGACAACATATTACGAAGACATGCAACGATCCATCTTTTGTCTGTGTCCTCTAGGTTGGGCTCCATGGAGTCCGAGGCTGGTAGAGGCAGTGGTGTTTGGTTGCATTCCAGTCATCATAGCCGACGACATTGTCCTGCCCTTTGCAGATGCCATCCCCTGGGAAGAAATCGGAGTCTTTGTGGCTGAAGAAGATGTCCCGAAACTAGACACGATCCTCACTTCGATACCGACTGAAGTGGTTCTCAGAAAACAGAGACTTTTAGCGAATCCATCGATGAAACGGGCAATGCTTTTTCCCCAACCGGCTCAACCGGGTGATGCATTTCATCAGATACTAAATGGGTTGGCTCGGAAATTGCCGCACGAGAAGAGTGTGTACGTGAAACCGGGCGAGAAGGTCTTGAACTGGACTGCTGGTCCGGTTGGGGACCTGAAACCTTGGTGAATCTCCAAGAGAGTTGAAACTTTTGTTATGGTTCTTTCTGTTTTCTTTCCTTTTCCTTGTTTTGGTCTTTTAGAGTTGTGTCCGAGTCGAGGAGTTATTGGTTACAATGCTACACACTGTAAAATGTGAGATTTTTCTTCCTGGTTTTGGAATTTTTTTGTAGATATATACATAATAACAAGTAATGAGAAAAAAAAAATCCATTTCTTTTTATAATTCTAACGTCATATGTATACACATTAGGTATAAATAATTTTTTTTAAAACCAAAAACTTTAAATTTTTGTAAATATATTAGAAGTAATCATTTTGGTTCGGTTTAATGAAACCAAACCGAAATGGATAAAATAAATAATAAATCAAATTTGAGATAAAAATTGAATGGTTATAATTTTTATTTCGAAAAATAAAATTACATACAAATTTTATTATTATATAAAAACAATTGAAAAAATTTGATAAAATTAATTTTATATAAAAATAAAAGGAAAGAATATATAAATATCTGAATTTTTATAAAATTTTTAAATAAATATGTGAACTATAAAATTTTTAAATAAATACCTGAATTTTTTAAAACTTTCATATAAATATCCAGACTTTTAAAAATTTATCAAATAAAACCAACAATGGATGATTACTTGGTTAATCATAAGACTAATTACGCTCTCTGAGAGGAACCCTTGAGCACTAACAATGGCCATTACAGGATTTACTCTAAAGCAACCTTTGGCATTTCTGATAAGACGCGCTTTGTATAAATTAATATTTTTTATGTTATCCACTTGACATTATTAAACAAGTTGCGAGGATTTTAGAGCTATGCTTTTCTCCAAACAATTTCACTTCGATTTATATATATATACACACATATATATAATCAAGGTTATAAAAAAAACTATATTATGCAAAATTTGAATTTTCTATAAAAAGTACGGTAAAAATGATGGATTATTACTGAAAAAAGGATAGATTTTGCCGTTTCGCAAAAAAAAAACTGGCTATTATGACGTCACCATGACCTAAAATGATCAAATATAATTTATAATTTTATATATCTCGTGTTGTTGTATTTAGCAGTTCCTTAATCCATTGTTTTCACCGACCTAACTCACCAACCCCTTTTGCCTCTTGTTTTTCTCATCGATCACAGAGAGAGAGAGAGAGAGAGAGAGAGAGAGGAAATGGCTACCATCTCCAAGCTCGCAAACCCATCTTGCCCTGTTGCTTCCGTCAAGCCCAGATCTTCATCGTCTTCCTTCTTGCCCAGATCCTTCGTCGGCTTCAACGGTAGAAGCGATTTCAACGTCAAGCTTTTGTCCTCGCAGCTGCGCCTGCGTTATGATCAACAATCGCGAGCCTCTCTGATGTAAGCATCTATGTCTCTATCCATGTATGTATCTCTGTACGTTTACACACGATATGTGTTTGCGCTTTTCGTCGCGGCGTCGGGTTTCACCAGAAATGATCTTGTATTTGCTTTTTAGTTGAAGGGCACCTGAAATCTGGGTCTTTGTCCCTTTTCGGACATTCTTAAAAAAAGTTTCGTGATTTTATAGCAGGTTGATAAGCATTCTCAGTTGTTTCTGTTTGTGTTACAAAAGCCCGATGTTCTGTCATAACCATGGAGATTTGATTCCTGACTCTTGATCTCATGGTGATAATCAATCTATATATTCTGGCTTTCTCTGTTTATAGCGCTGTCGGATATATCTGTAATCAACAGAAGATGGCAAGTTTTTTATCTGTATGAATGAATACATCAACTAGTCTTTGTGTCTCTGTGATAGTATTCTGGTTTCTGGTTAAGTTTTTGCGGAATTGGTTTCTGCAATGGGTTTGTTTGATTCATTTTCCTGTTAACAGTGTCAGGTGTTCTGCTTCTGGTGGAAATGGAAGTGCCACTAAGAGAACGACTCTTCACGATCTCTACGAGAAGGAAGGGCAGAGCCCTTGGTACGATAATTTGTGCCGCCCTGTTACAGATCTTCTCCCTCTCATCGACAATGGCGTTAGAGGTGTAACGAGCAACCCTGCGGTAGATCATCATTTACTTGTTTCCCTTGTCATTTTTCGGGCTTTTGGGTTTTCTGCTTGTTGGTTGCACCAATCTCTTTTTGGCTGTTCGTTTACGTGATCTATGTCTATGTGAACCTGCAGATCTTCCAGAAAGCCATATCTTCCTCAAACGCTTACAACGATCAGTTCAGGTATTCCTCTAGACTATGCTGCATAATTTCGATTCCAATCTGATTGTATCAATGTGTTCAAATGCTTGTTTTAACTGCTGATTGTTGAAAAAGCATGATCTGTTGCAAAGGTGGCTGCTTTTTTGTGTTTTCTGACAGAATCTGCTTTCTTTGATACTTCAGGGAACTTGTACAATCTGGAAAAGACATCGAAAGCGCATACTGGGAACTCGTGGTGAAGGACATTCAAGATGCCTGCAAGCTTTTCGAGCCCATTTATGATGAGACTGATGGCGGCGATGGTTATGTCTCAGTCGAAGTTTCTCCGAGACTCGCTGACGATACCCAAGGGACCGTCGAAGCAGCGAAATGGCTTCACAAAATCGTCAGCCGCCCAAATGTCTACATTAAGATTCCCGCAACTGCTTCATGCATACCTTCCATCAGGGATGTCATTGCTTCTGGCATTAGTGTCAATGTCACGGTAAACTTATCGTGATATCTGATAAAGGCGCCTCCTTGATCTTGTTTTCTTGGCGTGTCTTGTAAGAACGTTGTTGTTACGTGCTTTTTTTTTTTTTTTGCAGCTTATATTCTCCATTGCTCGATATGAGGCTGTGATCGATGCATATTTGGATGGCCTTGAGGCCTCTGGACTGGACGACCTCTCGAGAGTCACGAGCGTCGCTTCCTTCTTTGTCAGCCGAGTTGACACTCTCATCGACAAGATGCTCGAGAAAATCGGTACCCCTGAGGCCCTGGATCTCCGTGGGAAGGTGAAGTCTGTCCGGTTTATCATTGAGGAAAAACCCGTGAATCAACAAGCTTATGTCACTCGATTTTTCTCAATGTTTCAGGCCGCCGTTGCTCAAGCCGCATTAGCCTACCAGCTGTACCAGAAGAAATTCTCGGGTCCCAGATGGGAAGCTCTGGTAAAGAAAGGTGCCAAGAAACAGAGGCTTCTCTGGGCATCGACCAGTGTGAAGAACCCTGCTTACCCCGACACTTTGTACGTCGCTCCCCTCATCGGGCCTGACACGGTGAGTCAGTCATCCTTTCTCCATAGCAAATCCGGTGTTTCACGTCATAAAAACCGTCATTCTTTAACACCCGAATCCCTGATTTGAAAAAAGAGCTTTCCTTTTTCTGCAATCACAGGTTTCGACCATGCCGGACCAAGCCCTTGAAGCGTTCGTCGATCACGGGAAAGTGGGTAGGACGATAGATGCCAATGTATCGGAGGCAGAAGGGATATACAGCGCGTTGGAGAAGCTGGGGATAGACTGGAACAAGGTCGGGGATCAGCTGGAAGACGAAGGGGTCGACTCGTTCAAGAAGAGTTTCGACAGCCTGCTCGGTACACTCCAGGACAAGGCCAACTCTCTCAAACTAGCCAGCCACTGAAACTGAAAACATGTTCGTTTTTCTCTTCCCTCTTGGTGGTAATAAAGAAGCAAGAACTGGTTCTCAGAAAAACCAGTGCTTTGGTTAAAAGGTTGTGTCTTTTGTCGGGATTTGAAAAAAAAATGGCAGTCTTTTGACGTTTTGTTCTTGAACGAGTTCGATTTGGGTTAAGCTTTGTTCACTCACTGTTTTATGGCTAAGTTACAGAAACGTTTACGAATTTACAAAGATGGAGGTAGTATAGAAACTTTGCCGAATGCATTGGAACACTTCATGCATATTTTTTCAGTATCTGAAAATCGTGTATCCGTTAACCAACAAAACTAAAGGAACGTGTAAAGCTCTGGTGATGGTGAGAATCTGATATTTGGGTTCGGGTGTTGGCCGGTGGTGATTACCTGTACCTGAGGATATCCGTCTTTCTGTCAGCTCGGGTGCTCCTCATCGGGTGTCAAAGGCAAGGGCGTGACGAGGGACGACAAGGCAAATTGCCGTAGGCAGAAAAGGTTCAGACACCCGATGAGGATATCCGCCCCTGCCCTCGTCTCGATACAGACCTAGGTCTCGGTAGAGATTTTCGCTGTTGTTGAAACCATGCTCATCTTGTCGGTGCACCCGTATCCATAAAATACCCCACTCACGAGTCACATACCTGATTTTCGGGTTTATTTGCCCAGTCCTAGTTTGGACCGTATTCGAGCTTTTACCTGAACACTGAGCTTAGTTCTATATCACTCATGCGAAGGAGACAAATCAAAACTTGGGAGTATCCAACAACTCAGAACCCGACAAAAGCTCGAAACAACAGTTTGGGGCAAAACCCGAAAGCAGCAGCGACATCGAACGATCACAAACTAAAAACAAACGAGAGAGGTAACGAAGGTGAAAAAACCGGACAGAAACAGGTTCCAGGGTTACAATAACTTAGAAAAAACCTACTCTTTCGTTACCAGGTTTTTGCATGACCATCAGCAAAGCGGGCGCCGCTTGTAACGAACCATCACCTGCCCTTTCACGCCGACCACCATAGCATTCCAGTCGATCTCGGGGAAAGGCGAAACCAGCTCAAGCTCAAAGTTCCGCAACAAATGACTCCATATGGCTTTGATCTGAAGGTACGCAAATGGCTCCCCGAGGCACCCATGCCTGCCTCCCCCGAAGGAGATGTATGAGAATGCCCCAGCCGCTTTGTCCTCTTCCCTTCCTGGGGCAAATCTATCGGGATCATACGTGTCGGGTTCTTTAAAGATATGAGGAAGCCGGTTGGCGAATGCCGGTGAAGTTGCGATGATATGACCCTTTGGAATGTCGTACTCTTTGTCCGAGGCTGGTAGAGGCAGTGGTGTTTGGTTGCATTCCAGTCATCATAGCCGACGACATTGTCCTGCCCTTTGCAGATGCCATCCCCTGGGAAGAAATCGGAGTCTTTGTGGCTGAAGAAGATGTCCCGAAACTAGACACGATCCTCACTTCGATACCGACTGAAGTGGTTCTCAGAAAACAGAGACTTTTAGCGAATCCATCGATGAAACGGGCAATGCTTTTTCCCCAACCGGCTCAACCGGGTGATGCATTTCATCAGATACTAAATGGGTTGGCTCGGAAATTGCCGCACGAGAAGAGTGTGTACGTGAAACCGGGCGAGAAGGTCTTGAACTGGACTGCTGGTCCGGTTGGGGACCTGAAACCTTGGTGAATCTCCAAGAGAGTTGAAACTTTTGTTATGGTTCTTTCTGTTTTCTTTCCTTTTCCTTGTTTTGGTCTTTTAGAGTTGTGTCCGAGTCGAGGAGTTATTGGTTACAATGCTACACACTGTAAAATGTGAGATTTTTCTTCCTGGTTTTGGAATTTTTTTGTAGATATATACATAATAACAAGTAATGAGAAAAAAAAAATCCATTTCTTTTTATTCACGCTGAAATCGCTGTGGGAGGCCCGCATGAGCATGATTAGTGGTGGGTGGAGTCTCAAAGCTTCCTTAATGCAACGGTAAAGAACATCCATCTCGGACAAGATGTCATGATCGATCTTGTCCCCATGTTTTTCGATCAGTTTCTTCTGCTCATCCAATGCGGCCGAGAAGTATTGCTTGTATTTCATGAGGTAGGCTCCAGTCCATGTCGAAGTGATAGAACTCGTGTGTTGTCCGGCAAACAGAGCGGCGATAAGCAAGCCGGTGACCTCGGCTTCAGTTGTGCATCGACCATCTTTGTACTTTGAGTCGATGAAACATTGCAGCATGTCGTTCTCGGATTTGCCCGAGCATTTTCTCGATGAGATGATCTTTGCGAAAATCTCAGCCAGCCTTGCACGGGCCTTGTCACGGCGGTGATGAGCTGGGATGGGGAGATATGGGAAGAGAACACTGATAGGGAGCATTCCATTGTCAAGGTCGTGAAACAAGGCGGAGACGTCGTCAAAGAGCTGGTCACGGACTTCTCGGCCCAGTAGACATCTACTGGCGGTCAAGATGATGAGACGCTCTAGCTCACCCTTTATGTCCACTTCACCACTATCTCCCCATTTCGAGAAGAAATCCTGCCAAACGCCAGAATAAGGATTAAGACTCGAAAAAACGGTAATACACAAAGAAACTGAAGGAGTTTTTCCAAACAGTGAGAGGAAAATATATACATATGCCTTTCAGGCGAAGATATCTCAAGTCAAGTGGACACAGTCATAAACAGACATAAAATTAAAGAACCCGTCATGTTCTGGCTGATACTTGTAACTAAAATCTCCAGTTCGGATAAATATAGATGGATTTGGATACAATCTAAGAGGGTTGTGGGCGGAATTTAGAAATACACACACATAAACGAGCATTGCATTTACAGATGCATAAACTCTGCATACTCAAACACTCTCCTGCACATGGAACAAATAAGTGTCTGTGTATAAAAGCACAAACAAATTCACTCAATGAAAGAACTTGATCCCCCTATTTCAATTTTATGGATTATGATATGATGGTTTTAAAACTTTCCCTATAAAGAAAAAGAATGAGATAGGCTTTATCTTTTTAACTAGCGGCATTATCACAGGACCATATTTGCAATTAATTAGAGAAGGAACACTTCCATTAGATGTAATAAATCCAGCACTGTGAGATGAAATCCTCACCTCTGCTTCCGTGACCATCTGATCAACATAACCCTTAAGTTTGTTGACTCGTAGAGACTCAGTGAAGAACCGGAACTGCTCTTGGCGAATGGAGTAATCCACATCAAACACAACTCCTGGACCAAAAGTGGGCACATTGAACTGATAGACTTCCTGTTGGCTGAGATCGGTCTCAGGGGCCTTGAAAAAGTGAGCCGACACTTCAGGGCCAATCAGAAAGGTGATGTTCTTATGAACAAGCTTCACAGTGAAGACACTGCCAAGCTTCGGGTATTCCTCTCTGAGCATTACGATCGGGCCTTTCAAGAAGCGAAGCAGGCTTCCGATTACGGGAGGCCATGCTCGAACAGTGGGAGGAACACGCTTCTTCGAGCCAGATAGCAGGAAGGACATGACGAGCTTGGCCACAACAATGGTGGCCACTATGAGGACACCCATGTTCAAGAACTTGTTGTCCGTGTCCATCGCCGTTTGTATTTCTCTACTGATTTATACTGTAAAACCTGTAAGAAAGAGCAAAAGATGCTCGATTCATGTCGAATGGTTAACGATCCTTGAAACCACAACAAATGTATGAATCTAGATTCGGTGGTACTTGGGGATGAAAACCCAGTAAAAACTAATTGTGCAAACAAACCAATAAGAAATGCAACATTCATAGGTATGACAATCTTTCTGTGGAATCACTTCCTGATTTCCCCCAAAAACAAATGGCTCAGATCTGCGAATTTCTCCTCCCAAATCTCCCGAAATTTTTTTTTTTACCAGAATCCGATGAGCAAGCACGAAGAAATCCAAGCATCTAAGAAAAGAAAAAAAAAACATTGAATAATCGCTCCTAAATTCCTCACCCCCGGGACCGATGCAATGACTTGAGTAATGGCAATCGCGGAAACAAAATCCGAGACAGTGGTCCAAAACAGACAAGTCTACCACCGCAGACGAAGAGTATCAAATGCGATCGATCAGAAAAGCAACGGAGAAGACATCAACACATACTTAAGGACAAATCGAACAAAACAGAATCGAAGAACTGCGGAGCAAAATCGGATTGGTGATGAAACAACGAACATGGGAAGAGAAGGAAATCAAATGTGAAATACCTGAGGATCGGGGATGAGGAAGCTCCGAAGATCTAGAAGGAGAAAGAGGAAGGGATACGGAATCGGAGCATCTGAATCAAGTGACTCTCCAGATTTTCGCACTGTCACTGATTGTGATTTTAGATTACAAATCAGACGTGAGGTCGAGTCACTATATAAGCCACGCACGTGATACGAAGCCGACCTGAGCTGAGCCGAGCCGAGATGAATCGGAGCTATAAACAATCAAAGATCACAACAATTAGTAGAGAGAATCCATAAAAATAAATTATCAACTTATCACATTAATCAATTATTCTATCTTCTTCCAAATTAATACCTATATTATATAAAATGCCACACAAAACTTTGATATTTTCAAAAATGTGTGGCCACCAAAGTTGATAACTTTGGAAATTTTACAGTAGCAAAAAAAACATTAATATATCCTCCAAACGTTATCTCAGAAAAAAAATGATTTCAACATTTAAAAAAATAAAAATATAGATATATACATACATATGTGTATTTGTACATATGTATATATTTTTGGAATTTTTTTCATTCTTGTTAATGTGATTGATAAGTATAGAAGTTCAGGCATAATTTTATTATAATATGTGTATTAATATGAAAAAAAATAAAGGAATTAATGCATCCATTTAATACAAAATTGGAGATTTTTTATGGATATTTTCAAATTATTATTGTATTTATAACTATATATCATGTAAAATTGTTTAAAATTTTAATATTAGATATTAATTAATAAATCGCTTCCTTCAAATTTTAGATTTTAATTGGAAGTATTTTTTATCACAATGGTTTATCTTAATAGTATTAATTTAATTATTAATATTTTATGAAACCAAATAATTATAAAAATCTAAATAGCGAGATAGATACAAAATATGATTAATATGACACACAAAATTATATATCGATGACACAATCATTTGTAATGACGAGTTTTTCATTATATATAATATATCTTTAATATATCGATCCAAATAAGTATGATCTCATTTTATAATTGTTTTATATTTTATTCGATATACCTAATTTATCAACTGAGCATTTTTTTTTCAAGAATTCAATATGCCAAGGAACGCGATTTTCTTTTTCTTTAACATGAACAAATATATAGTTCAACAATTATATTTCTAATGAAGTTCCATTCAGAAAAAAAAATGTAACAAAAAGGGTTAAAGAAATAAGAGAAGTTATAAAATGTGGCTCGGCTCAAGAAGGTAGTTTAGGTTGGATTAGGAATGTATCCAGGGAATCAATGACCAAGTTAAAAACAGTGGATGGCCTACAGATTTGTCTGAACACGTGTCATCTGGTAATTGGTTAATATTATTGCGGAGAGACCAAGGTGGTCGAACTCTGCTTTGGTCGTGTGAGCTCATGGCTTCACTGGCCAAGTGGATCTCTCTCTCTCTCTCTCTCTCTCTCTCTCTCTCTCTATATACACACACACATATATATATATATATATATATATATATATAACACAAATGGGATGTTTTCTAGCAAAACACGACAAATCACATGAGAATTCATACAACATTCGTGGCCCAAAAAATATAATAATAATAATATTACAATAATCAAAGTTCACGGTAATGCAGTGTCGGACTCGTCAAAAACATGGGCGGTTTTGGGACAATGCAATAGGTGCTGCCGCAAAATTGCCCAAACTCTAGGTTTTAGATAGAGAAAATATTTTAGTACTATACACACATATATATATATATATAACGTATGTATCATTGAGGCCCAGAATTTAGTCAGATTAGAACCGGCCCGAAGAGTGGTCATAGATACAAAATGGGTCTACTTTTTTGGTTTACTTAGGCCCGGCCCAAAGTAGAGTATTCGGTACGATATGGACCCCGACTTCGATTTGGAGTAAAACACTTTATTTTACATCGACTCGCTACGGCCAGACCCAACACTATTCGGACCATAAGCTTTCGACCCTGACCGGTAAACATGAGCTCGCTCGCTAGCCAGGCTCGCTTCTGTACCCCTACAAATAATCATGTCCCCACCAGAATGCTAACTAACTACATCCCATCCCCAAATATGTTCCAGGCGGGTAAAATTTCGACGAGGAAACTGTATCCGTGGTGGGAATCCATAACTTACAAACCAAACACCCGTAGAGCAAATTAACAGAATCGAAATCACTGAATCAGAGCAAGCGAACCTATCGTGAAACCCGTAACGAGCAATTTACGACTCCGATATTCAAATAAAATCCGATTCTGTTGCATCAGGAGAATCAAAAGACAAAAGAACTTCGAAGTAGAAATGTATGGTTCAAAATCAGGGAGACATTAGTGCTTAGCAAGAAAGAAATCCCAAACAAAAAACATCTGATTCATGCCATATCTTAGACTTAGACAAAACCCACATCGACAGCAACATCTGAGGAAAGACTGTTGGTCGAATTCGAATCTCAATCTCCCTTTCTCCTGAAGGAACAGCCCTCGGTGAGCCTAGCTTTACCACCCGTGGGCTGGCACAACACTGTCTGGCAGTTTCCACACACCACAACTGTCTGAGAATGGCTAAACACCGTAGTTCTGTAGAAATTCAAGTGCATCGTTATTATAACTCCGACAAGCCCAATCATCTTCCTTACGGCCTAAGACAAACCCTAGAGCGACCACACCAAAATTCAACACAATTCTAGAGAATAAACTACAGCAAGGATAGTTGAAAACTCACATGTTGAAGCATCCCTGGCACTTGACATCCTGCAAACGAAGGAAAACAAGATCAGACCTTTCTGATGCAGATCCGATTATACCAGTGTATACCCTCTTCCGATGTGCAATTAACGATTGAATTTTCAAAACCTAATCTTAAACAAAAGTAAACACGTACCATAAAGAAGGAGTTAGGGGACTGCACGAGACGCTTGAGCTTGTGCTTCCTCTTCTCCAGTTCCGCCGGAGGGTTGAGGAGATCGATATCATTTTGCAGAACCTGACAAAACCACGGATCCAACACAGAAACATAAAAAAACTCGATTCCAAATACTACATAACCAGAAACAGAAGACGAAAACACCATTACAATCGGAGAGAGATGAAAAACAGAAAATCTCACCATGATTGTTTGCAGAAAGCGCGAAGAAAACGAATGTGCGAAACCCTAGGAGATACGAACAGGCTCACTCTTGAGGCGGCTTCGCGAAGAGAAAGTTCTAGGGTTTAGGAAACGACGAAAAGTGCTGATTTATACAAGGGTATGAGTTGTCGGAGAGCGTCTAAACTAATGGGCCAAATATTCAAGCCCATTATTTAAAAGGTTTTGTTTGGGCCAGATATTCAAGCCCATTGACCAATCGTTTAGGGATGGAAATCTTCCGTTTCATTTTGGTTATATTGTCTAGTTTTTTAAAAATTTTATATGTTTAAAAATATCATTTTAAAATAAATTGTCATATTTTATTCAATCTATAATTATTTTTATATTAGATTCGAATTATCTTAAATTTATTTAATTAAAAAAAATTACATCCAATTGAATTTAATTCAAATGCATTTAAAATTTTAATTTAATTCAAGTATATTAAATTTATGAACTCTTAATTCTTTTTGAAAGGAAACAAATTGTCGGATACAAAATTAAAATGCTTTAGATCATATTTAATTGAATATAAAATAATGGAAAAAATGAAAATAAACTAAAATATTTTATAAAATCGTCATTTTTTAACTAAAACGATTAGGGTACGAATAGAACTAAAAAATTGACATGAAAACCTTATAAATATATTTTTTTTTAAACCACAAAATTGCAAATGAAAAAAAAAATGATCCAAAAAAATGACGATCGAATGTCATGCAAAATTTATGATTAGCTCCTCCGGTCCTTCTGCAAGATTAGTTAGTAGAGAGAGAGAGAGATAATAATGAAAATTAAGAGAGATAATAATGAAAACTAAGAGAGGGAGAGAGAGTATAATGAAAATTAAGAGAGAGATTATAAATGGGTGAGCATTCAGTATTCAGATCTCATACGGAAAAAAGGTCTGCAAAAATTGAGACCTTTGACTTTCCGAACTCGATTCCAAACATCTTCACCATCACTAACACGACCAACGTAACCTTCCTTTATCCCGACCAAACAAATCCGGCAGACAAATGGAAGAATCGTCGCATCCGTACATTCCCAGAGATCTGGAACTTCCCGGCTACGTTCCGGTGTCGATGCCTCAGTCTACAATCGTCGGCGTTTACCTCCTCGCTTCTCTCCTCGTTGTCTCCGTCGTCTGGTTTCTCTTTGGTATAATCTTCCTCTCCCCTCTGATTCGTTTTTTCGAATTCTATTCCTGTTGCTGTTTGTACTGTTGACCATCGTCGTTGTCTGATTGGTTCCGTCAAACGACATAATCCGATTCAGTCACCGGGGAGTTGAACCGATCCGATTTGACCTAGTTTTGCTCAAGATCTAGCATACGGGATTTATACTTTGATGGGTATTGGTCAATGTTATTGGGTTTATGCTAAGATTGACCGAGGATTTCTCAAAATTGCGTCTTTGTTCTTGGTCTGATCCATTTCACATGCTTTGTTTTTTTTTCTTCTGAAGATTGTATAGCAGAGTATCCTCTCATGCATGTTCTCGTTGGAAATGTAATACAAGAGGACTAAGGTTATGAACATTCAACGCTGATTTAGGTTTTCTCCTCTACTATGGATGTTGTTGCCTTGGTGAAAATGTGTTCTTCTCTGCTTGTCTCTCGACGAATGTAATAGCGATTTCCGATTTGCCTCCTTCATCAGTTTGGATATGTTCTTGTTTTTCGTGTTGGCAGGGACAAAAAGATCCAAGCTTGATAGATTGCTTATGTGCTGGTGGGCGTTCACTGGTCTCACCCACATGATTCTTGAGGGTTACTTTGTTTTCTCTCCGGAATTTTTCAAGGATAAGACTTCCTTTTATCTCGCTGAAGTTTGTAAGTTTTTCTCTCAATGCATATTCTTCTTTCTCACTCCGGGGAATTGACGAGAGTAGAAACTCATAGAACAAAGTTTGGCAGGGAAAGTCGACAGTT